TTTTTGTATCTTTCAAAAAGTATATAGTGTTTGGCGGAGTATAATTAAAATTCTTTTCATCATTATCCTATGTTGTTGTTATTATTATTATTTTTTAAGTTAGAAGCATTTTGTATTTTGACAACATTAGTGTGATCCCCAACACAAAAAGTAACAATAGTTAGACAAATTTAACTTATGTGTCATTTTTTTTCTTATTTTATAAGTTTGTTCTTATTTTACAAGTTCATGAATATTTTTACGCCTCCGAAAAGCTTATAGCAGTGAGCACACTTTAAATAAAAGTTCTTGAAATAGTTTTGCACCTTCACCCAATTTTATAATCTCACTTTTCTTTAAATTAAACTCATTAAGATTTGTCTCCCTTACACTTCATTTTTCCTCTTGCCAACAGATCATTAAAGACAAAACGACATCCCCTAAGGGAAGCTAGAAAAGCTAAGAAAAAAAGTCACTATTCTATGAGATCTTGAAAATGAGCAGCCATGACTTATTTAAAGTATGATTAATTACTCAAGAGACTAATAAAAGATAATTGTACTAAATAGATATAAAACAATAAATAAAGTACAAGAATAATTTTATGAGGATTTGAATGATTACATTAATAAAATAAAATAAAAATTGAAAAGAAAAATTAATTATCACAAAAAGAGTTTAAAAAATAAAAGAATAATGCGGTCCAAGTTAAATATCAAATAAAAAAAAAGGCATATGAAAGGCCGTTAAAAATGTGTGATAGATACAATCAATGACTACTGTTAGAGTAAGGCTACGTAGTCCTTATTTTGACGCTTTCAAAACAACATTAAATTTAAAAAATGTTTCGAATACCCACAGTTCTTGTGCAAAAACTTCTATGACAAAATTGAATCTTAACCCTACATTTAAAAATAAAAACTATATACTGACTATTTATACATTAGGCTTTAATATTTTAACTATTGCACTACGCCAAAAGCTTGTTGCAATGACTTATCTATGGCCTATTTGTTTTGTGGAATCAATAGAAATGTAAATCAACTTAATAATTAGGAATGGAATGTAATGCAAAAGTGATTGCAATAAGTCCATTTGGAATGATTGACATTCTGTAAATATATTTTTATATAAATAATTCAACATAAATTAATATACCATAACCAAAATACTCTTGTTAAGATGGCATGACTGTGGGTCCGCTTCATGGAGGGCGAAGGACGGGGAAGGGAGAGAAGAAGACAGCGAGGTGTTGCGAGAAAACTTTCATATTTAGGGGTGTTTAGATGGAAACCAAATTATAGTTTTAAAAGTGTTTTTACGGTATGCGAGATATAAGGAGGAATTTGTCTCGTTTTACAAAAAAATGCTTCTGAGAAACACTTTTAAGTGCTTAAACACCCCCTTATTCTATAAGGCTTTTTTTTTTTTTGGTTGGGACAACAAGGATCATACAAATTGAGTAATGACAAATCCAAAAATTTGGACCATTTTTGTAGTCTCTCACACACACATATACACACACTTTTTTGGATTATTTAAGGGTTTGTTTGGTTTCTTGTTTGAAAAAAATTTTTTGTTTTTAAAAATAGAAAAAACACAAAAAAACTTGTTTGGTAAGTTGCTTTTAGTTGATTGTTTTAAAAAACAAAAAACAGTAATATGTTTTTAAAAAACCAAAAACCAAAACAACTTTAATATGTTTTTTGTTTTTGTGTTTTTTATTTTTTGTTTTGAAAAGTTTTAAAAAAAATTTTTTTCTCACCTACTATCCACCATTTATTATTACAAACGAAAACTATCACAGTCAAGTGTGGTTTTCAAAACTTGTTCTAAAAAAACAATTTTATAAAATTGTTTTGAGAACAAGAAAATAAAGAACAAAACAAACAAGCCCATAGTATTTTTATTTATTTATTTTTTTTCACTTTTTCACCCTGATATGAAATATGCGCTTTCCAAAAGGGCAGAAGACTCGATACTTTCACTGTGTCGTCCCCTTGCTATACACACCTCCACAAGATGGTAGAATCTTCTAGCTAGCCAATCAAACCTTTAATTAATCTTCTTTATATATTACCAATAAGAGTGTACCTTTAACTCCCCAATGGTCTCAAGTTTTCTATTTCGAACGCCCGTCTGGCTGCAATCGACGACGACGCTCTCCACTTTATTCGGTCGTTTCACCAGATCGATGCGCTTTGATGATTTTGATTTCCAACGACCGTCGTTTAGCTGTTTGAGGGTCTCCGATCAGTTTAGAAATGGGAGCTTGGATGCCATTTCCGACTTTTGCGCTGCTTGTCACAGGCACCATAAGAACAAGTTCAAGAAACGCAAGCAACTTCAGGTATTGTGAAATCGGTTTGTCTACGCATGTTATATTATAAATAAGTATAATTACCTTTTTTTTATATAAAATTTATTTTGTAGTGTAAATTAAATTTTGTATTAAGGAATGCTGGAGTAGGGGTAGAGGTAGGGTAGTATTATCAAGTTGGGCAGCATTGATTTAATAAATCTTTAATTTTTTTATAGTTTTTAAATCTTAATAATCTTTTTAATCATAAAAACCACATGCCCTCGAGCATGCTTATGTTACGCAAGAAGACTCAGTTTTATAAATCCAAAATGATTAAATGAACTTTTAGCAAATGAAATTAGGCTAATAATTGTGAGAAAATATAAAATTTATATCTTTCAATGAACTCAATTTTAAAGGTATTAAAAAACAGTTAAATTACTTATTTGCTAAAATGTATGTTAGTTGCTTAAAGTATCTGTTGTAATATTTACAGGAGAAAATACTTCTTCGATAAAAACTCATTTAATATATGCATTTTATGCTGAAGTTTTAAATTCAAGATTAAAAAAAAAAATCATCTAGCAACTCTTACATTACCTTTAATTTGGATAAGAGGAAAAATAGGGGAAAAAAGAATATAAGTAAGAAAAAAATCCCAAAAAAATAGTAAAAATTTTACTATCTTCTAAGATTTTGTTTTTTTAGTATTTTCTCCCCCTCTATTTCTTTTGTTATTTCCCCCTCAATTCAAAGCAAGCCTCAGAATCAAATGGAGTATTAAAAATACCATCAAAATTAGGGAATAAATTATTTATATAGTTATATATATTTTGTTATATATTATGCATAAGGTTCATTGATCAACAATTAATAATCAGGCGGTGGAGATAAAAGTGAAGATGGACTGTAAAGGGTGCGAGAGAAGAGTGAAGAAGTCAGTGGAAGGAATGAAGGGGGTGACGGAAGTAGAGGTGGACCCCAAGCAAAGCAAGCTCACTGTGACTGGGTACGTGGACCCCAACAAAGTATTAGAGCGCGTGAGGCATCGAACCGGAAAGAAGGCTGAGTTTTGGCCATACGTCGCCTACGACGTCGTTCCTTGTCCCTACGCACCTGAGGCATATGATAAGAAGGCTCCGCCAGGATACGTGCGAAACGTCTTCCAGGATCCAGAAGCTTCCGCTCTCGCACGTGCCAGCTCATTTGATGTCAAATACACCACGGCCCTTAGCGACGAGAACCCCAATTCTTGCTCGATCATGTAATTTTGTTCTTTTCTTTTTTTTAAAAAAATTATTATAAAATCCTCAAAAATGAATGTAATTACAGAAAGTTTTATAACAAGTAAATCATATGAATCTAGGGCAAAAGAGCTCTAATACTTCACTTTTATGCTCCTTGAAATGTCCAACTGAACTTTCCTCACACTTAAACTTCTATATAATGACAAAAAAAAAAAATCTTGAAAATATAAATAAGTGAAAAAAAGGAAGACAACTGAATTAACCATGAAACTGTGAAAATTCAAATAAGCACAACTTAAAAACTAAGCATTTAATCTGAATCATTAATTACGTGTAAAGAAACTCATTCACTTAACTCACTAGTGTAGGGGTTATTTTTCATTTAGCTAACTTGTTTAATTACTCTGCCATAAGCTTGCAGTAATTCCAATTCTCTACCACCAATTACATATATGTACATTTTAAAATCAAGAAATATAATCTTTGAGAGTTGTAATATACATGGTGTGGGATCGATAAATTTCTCAAAAATAAATAGAATGGATGGATATGATTAATGTATACTAACTTGGAGCGTAAAGATGTGAGTGAGCTTCTTATCTAACAAATAGTTGTTTTCTTTCCCCCCTTCTTTTTCTTTCTTTTTTATTTTAATTATTCTTTTCTTTCTTTTATTTTTGCCTCCTTAAAACCTAACTAGTAGCATGTATATATATGGTCATGAAGATATAAATTTTAATACTGCAAAGATATATACTGCACAACATTGATTAATTAGTGGTCATCCTCTTAAGTTATGCAACAAATAATGAAATAAAAAGGCCAGCAGGCTTAAAATAAAGGGTCACAAAAAATGCATTCATTGAAAGGAAGCCGTTTAGTCTAAATGACTAGCAAAAATTCAGAGGAAGCCACTGAAGGCGCTACAAGAAAATATACTTTTTACTTCCCTCATTCATGTTTGTTTATGAAAACAGAGGAGAAAAAGTGAGTATTTTGTTTGTTTTGTCAAAACAAACAAGAATAGCTTGGATGTTCTTGTTTGTTGGGTAAAACAGACGAGTACATCCAACTTCTCGTCTGTTTACTAATAATAGACAAGAGTTCTCGTCTATCATTAGTGAAACAGACGAGAACATTAGTGAAACAGACGAGAACTTCCCCTTTGTTTGTTATTAATAAACAAATGAGAAGGGGCTAAAATTTTTTTAAAAAAAATTCCATGATAGCTTAAGTTGATTAGCTCATCGCAAAAACATCCCTCCCTTTCCGTCTTTGTTTTTCACATCACCTCTTCTGACCAGCGCCCATTGCTCCCCTTACGGCCACAATGCTTGCTGGGACTGCGAAGCTTGCAGGAGCTGCGTCTCCAATCCGTCATGCATTCTTCCTCTTCATTTTTTGCGAGTCTTGCACTCTTTCAGTCCATCGTGCGTTCTGCCCTATCCCTCTCCCAGTTCATCATGCGTTCTTCCCTCTCTAAGTCGATGACTCTACCAAACAAAGGAGCTTGCTATTGAAGCTACAGTTACCTGCGTGCATTTTGCACTCTCCCTCTCCCAGTCCCATATGCATTCCTCCTTCTTCGATAGCTCTACTGAATAGGGTAAGATCAAGAAATTTGTATTCTATGTGTGCTGTAAATGGAATGTGGGTTGTGTAAATTGTTGGTAAATCTAGAATTGCATTTATAAAGTTTTAAACTTGTGTACATTGATTGGGTAATAGATTTGAATCCTAAGAAATTTGTTAAACTTGTTTGAATATTCATGCACACAAGGTGTTTGTAAAAAATATCTAAGAAAGAATTTTCATATATTGGTATTGTATTACAATGGTAATGTAGTTATTATCATCTTGAAAGGTTTATTTAATAGCAAATTCATATTTTTTTGGATGTATTATCTCAAAAGGAAGCTTTGTCAAATTTGTTATTAGTTGAAAGAGATTCAAAAAGTTGAAAGAGAGGATAAATCCATATATGAAAGAGAGAGAATAGAAATTTAGATTTGAATTGATATTTGCTTTTTATTATTCAATTGAAAAAGTTAACGGACAAAAAAAAGAGGAAAAATTACATATAGGTCTCACAGAAGACAATTTATTCAGGAAAAATCCTTTAAAATCTTGAAATGCTTCCTAAGTCTCCAGGGACTACAGAGCAAAATATTGGAATTATGAAAAGTCTGTTTTGCCCTATTGATTGGAAGGAAGAAACAGAGGGAAAGCCTTCAGTTAGTGTGCTGGTGCTGCATGCATGAGGAAGAGAAGCTTCTGAAAGAAGGAACGAAGGTCTGCACTAGTGCTCCATTATTCTAGGCAAGCTATGTTTTTTCTTCATGTTCTTTGTAGGTCTCATCATTAACAACATTTTTCTTCTTTCATACACAACTGATTTGAAGTTTAATATTGGTTTGAAAAGTTGATTGGTGTGGGTGTATGGGTATTAAGGATGTGATTTAACTCACTTGAACTATCAAGGGAGGCTCATTTTAATCATATGTGGTTTTAATCATCTTAGGTATGGTTTGTTATATGTGGTTAGGGTTATTAAAGCGATGCTCTGTTTTTTAGTGAATGATGCTCTGTTTTTCGGTGATTGATGCTATGTTTGATGAAAATGAATGAAAATGGTAGGTTTTTATTGTTATAACCCTTGTATGTCTTGTTAATGGGTACATCGAAGGTTGTCAATATAACTATATGACTTGTTATGAACAAGTGATTGTGATAGGTTGATATGAAGGATGGCAACTTCAAGTAGGAAACATTTTGTTTTGTTACCTCCATATAAGGGGACAATTTATTAATGGTGTAGATGTGGTAGGAGGTGAAATGCAGTATATTGGAGGTGGTGTGGTGAGAACAAGAATGATAAAGGAAGGCACATCACATAAAGAATTTAGAACAATGGTAGCATTAATTGTGGGAAAAAAAAGTAATAGAATGGTTATGAAATTCACAGTAACCTTTAATAAGTGTACATTTATGGACCTTGTAGATGATGAAGGAGTAGAACATTTAATTAACTTTAATGGTGACGGTGGTCATGTATATATAGGAGAAACTGGAGATCAAAATTCACAACTAACAAAGGATGTTTTAATAGAAGAGCAACATGTGTAAGTTGTATTATTTACATTTCAGAGTAATGTTGGCTATTGTCAATTGTTGTGCATAAGTTCTTATTGCAGTGATCGAAGGTTGTCATTAATGACCCACGATTTGTCGTGTTATGTAGGATGGAAGACTTGTTCAAAGGTTTAGATGCATTATCTATGTCTCTACCCAATGTGTTTAGTGAAGACTCACTATCATTGCCATGTGATTCACAAATGATGCCAACCCCAATTCCAGAAATGAATTCAATAAAGTGGAAGGGTTGGTTATTGGAGAAGGACAAAATTTTTTTAATGCAGTGGTCCTTAGGCAAGTACTATATAGGTATATCATTGTTGAGAAGTTTTATACAAATTTGAAGAAAACAATTAACAAAAAATCATTGTGAAGTGTATGGAGGAGGGATGCCTGTGGTACATGGGTGCATACTTAATGGGACAAACACAAGATGCTGAGTTCTTAATAATAAAAACATTAAGAAGTGAGTATATGCATTATGCACAGGATAGCTTGGTTGTATCTCACTCTAGAAGGTCAAACTTAATATCATCAATCATGATAAATTCTTTGATGTGTAATATAGATAAGAATGCTAATGAAATTAGAAGAGATTTGTACAAAGAATATGGGGTGCCACTGAATTATAGTCAAGCATACAGGGGTGAAGAAAGAGCATTGAGGGAAATACATGGGCATGCAGAGGATTCATACATGGTGATTCTCTAGATTTGTGAAAGGCTTATTGAAACTGATCCAAACACAATTGCTCGATGGGAAGGCTTGGATAGTATAGATTAGATTTGAGGGGTGTTCATTGCTTATGGATGCTCAATTAATAGATTTTTAGAAGGGTGTTGAAATATTCTTTTATAAACAGATGTCATCTAAGTGGTCCTTACAGGGGGACATTGATTTTAGCTAATGCATATGATGGGTACAATGAACTGTTTTCATTAGCATATGCTATAGATAGTAGGAAGACATATGATGATTGGCTTGGTTTCTCTAGAATGTTAAAGACATCACAAGATCAGTAGAGACGACAATAGTTTCAGATCAGAATAATGCCATATAGGTGCTGTGCGGACAGTATTTGATGGCGAGAGACATGCTTTTTGTTATAGGCATGTGAAATAAAATTTTAGTGCACATTATTTAAAAATTAACCAAGCCAGGGGATGAGTTTCAGGTAGTTCAAAGGAGGTTGCATTGAAAATGCTGGATGGAATTGCCTACGCAAGGATTGGAGATGAATATGTTGCTACAATGGGAAACTTAGATCATTTTGTCCATAATTAGCTAACTGTGTTGAGACTCAAGGAGATGTAGATTAATGGGCTTCAAGCAAATTTTCATTTAAACGATGGAATAATATAACAACTAAGTTGCAGAGTCATTTAATGCTTAGATTTTGAAGGGAAGGAAGTACAATGTGTCAGTTCTCACACATGAGCATATGAGAAATTAGAAATTAGCAAAGAAGATGATTGCAACCAAAATGGCAATGAGAAATTAGACAAATGGCGTTGGGCCCAATGTTGAGTCCAAGTTGCAAGAAAAAGTAGCAAGAGTGGAGAATATGCATAGTGTATATTATAGAGATAACAAAGTTCAGGTTCACACTATATCTCCTACTGGAATAATTTGTGTCACTGTTGATCTAACGACACACGAATGCACTTGTTTAGCATGGCAAATAAGCAGAATATCTTGTGTACATGCATGTGCAGCGATAAAGCTACTTCACAATAGTGTCTATGAATTGTAAATGATTTTTATAAACTATTTTGCCCAAGAGAAAATATATGCCAGTAGTATGAGACCAATTGCGACACATGATTGTCCACGTCCTGAAGCTCTCACCGTTATGCAGATGATGACAGGAACATTTTTACAGCCAC